TTTTTTTTTTTTTTTTTTTTTTTTTTTTTTGTTTTTGAAATCACAAGGATGGAGCTCATAAAAAGCGGAAGTAACTTGTTTCCGAGCAGCAGGGTGCCTAAAAATTGCGGGCGCTGTGGATCAATACAAAAGAACTGATAAAAAAAAAGTAAGAGGATAATAACAGCAGCTGCAACAGTAACAGTATTTAAGAAAAAGGTCGGAGATTGCAAATTGATTATTATGCTTTTCTTTTTTATTAGAACTTTAGAAATATAAAGAGGAAAAGAAACGAAAAGATTTTACTTGCACTCCTTCGTCCTTTTACTTTTCTTTTCACTATTTTTTTAAATCAGTGACTTTTTTTTTAGCATTATCTTTTATGACTAGGGCATTGTAGTGCCTTAAAGGTTGTCTATTTTGTTCTAGCAAGCCTTTTTTAGAGTAAACTTTCGGGCATTTTTTTAATCTGTTCTACACGCTTTGTCAGCAGAAAAAAATGTGATGATTTGCTTTTTGATCAACCGAACTGGTCAAGCGTTCTGGATACTTGTTCAGCGAGGATTGAGCACCAATTGAGTTTAATTATTTCCTTGATAAGTACCGAATCACCGTACTTACTGTTGCTGCTGCCGGTCCCTTTCGGACAGGTTCACAACAGTTGTCGTTAAAACTGATTATGTTGACAAAGTTATTTGATGTATTATCTTCTCAACTTTAAATGATTATTGATCGACAGCAAATTAACAAGTAGATGAAACTTTTGCCTCGATAAGCAACAGGATAATTATAGATAATAGGTCAATGTTTACCAACTTTTTTGTCCTGATTTTTCAACATTAAAAAAAATTAAAGGCGCGGGATGGAAAAGAGGGTTCGCAGAAAAACCTTTTAAAATTTCCTACATCCGAGGTTCGCACCACTCATAAGAATTATATTTTTTTTCAGGTCACTAAAACTTAGTGCTGTTATTCTGATAAACCGAAATATTTATTGCATTATTGTCGAAGATCTATATAGATCTGCAAATCACTGTGGTTTTCTGTATTTAATATGCAGCATAAAAATGCTGGTAATCGGTACAGTATGCATTATATGTTATGCAGTTCATACCTTATTTTACTGATTGTACTTATCATTTATTTTCTTTTTGCGTCGATGACTTTTATCTGGTACTGGTATTACTTCTTCCAGGTAGCTTTTATCATTTACTCTTTTATCAACTACTAGTTAAGCTGTTTTTTGTTATTTCCCTGGTATACCCTGAAGAAACCTGAGGATATTGTGTTTTTGATGTCGTTGTTGAGTAATAACATAAAGTGATATGTAAAGTTTATACTATAAAGTATGGACAAAGCAAAGAAGGAACTAACAGCAATTGTATTAATTATTAAGAGATTTTTAATTTTTCCTCTTATCACTGTTTATATGTCTGCCGCTTAATTCTATAAGCGTTGTTTTGTATAAAAAGAAATGTTTTATTTTTTTGTAGGACAATAAGCCGAGTATATCAGAGGTGGAATACATAGGATTGCATGAGGAACGAAAAGATGAAAGTGCATTCGATAAGTTTTTAGATGTGGATACCTCATTTGACCTTGTATACAAGGAGAAAGTTATATCAGGTTTCAGTGAAGCAGTTTCTTTTGTTCTTTTTATTGCTAATTGCACTTGCCTTTTGTCTTCATAAGAAGAGAAAATAAACCAAGTTAAAGAAGAAACAGAAATGAAAGGTATTTGAACAGTTCTTTTTTCTTTTTAAGTGTGGGATGTATTTATGGTGACGTTACGGTACGTAATAGTTATTCTGGCGTTGTATGGAGCAATAAGACACCGTTACGGTTACTACGTTCCGTTTATGTTCTACAGTATTGTGGTTATCATTCATTATGTGATGGTTTTGGTTAGTCATTATTGCTTTCATTAACCATTGTTTGTTTTCCCTTGCCTCCTCTATCTATGTAACTTTTTTTATTTATTTCTAACATAATCATGGCATTAACTGGTAAACCAGGAATAGTTTTTCCCACCAACTTCTAAGGGATTATTAACGAGCATGGAAAATTTGACAGAATGTTTTTTTTTTTTGAGCGTCTTTATTTGTCATTCACGTTGACATTAGCATCTTTCAACTTCATCTTACTGATCAACCTGTTCAATCTAGCAACTATTCTACACCAGAAGTAGACGGTTACCAGCCATAACTACTCCCTCATCTCCTTCTTTCTTTGTTGGTAAAGATTCTGAAATATCAAAGATCTTTGAAGCCGAAGGATTCCATAAGATGCTTCAGTCAAACTGCGCACCTAAAATGATTTCCGTAAAGTCTAGAGAACAGATTAGTTTTTTGTATTTCCCATGTGACTTTTTAGCACCAAATTAGAGAGGTATTTTTCAGTAATTCTTAATATAGGTTAAAGTAAACTTGAGTTTTACTCTAAAAAAGCACAGCGTTTAGTTATGAATTGAACCTTCCCCAGTAAACTGGAGCTCAGTTGTTGCTTCAATATAATGTCCAAAAAGTAAAGTTAGCGTTACTTTAACTTTGATCCTTAAACACAAATATATACATTTATATATATAAAATATACAAAAACAAAAGTATATATATATGTCCTTTCATTTATTTGGGCCATTCTACGTCAAATCGCACACTTTTTTCCCTTCATATCTCAGATT